CCCCCCCCTTTCTCTCAGTATTTTTTCTCCCATTTTCGTGTATTCTCAGCTTTTGTGTTATCAGTGGGGGCAATCCTCGGGTCAAAGGCCCAAGGGTTTTTGCCTCTCAATGAAATTCGAATCGAGTGCATTTGTTGCTTCATTTTCTCAACAGTTTGCGATATTTTATATCCCCATTTTTTTTTTTCGTTTTAATTTGCTTCTTCCTCTTGCGGATCATCACGTTAGCAGATCATCAAGGCGTTTCTCACTTGAATAATGAAACATGTCCAATAGTTGAGAGCGTAGAAAGTGAACGGTTGAAGAACGCTCCGTGTTTCTTAATGAGAAGCAGCCGTTTTCATTTTTAACGGTTTCACTAATTCTTTCTTTGAATGAGATAATGGTTAGCGTTTAAACTTCGGATAGAAGCCAGAAGATTACATGCCACTGATAAATGATGATATCATCATTGACAATGGTGTGCTGGAGCCTTGAGATAAAGTCACGATTTGATTTTGAAAGGCACGTGAATTGGTTTGTTATCAAGATCAAGTTCAGACTGTTGGGGAATTTGACGAGCAGTCAGTGGTAACAAACATTTCGGGGGACTCGGGGATAAAGCGTTAGATAAAGTTGTTCCGGGGAAATCCTGAGTTACGAACGGTGATGATAGAGAGTGTAATCGTCGATTCAATCGTTCGATTGAGGAAGAATCCACTCATCATTTCGCGAGAGATTTGATTTATTTCAGACGCAAAAAGATGATGATTGCATTATCGCTGATTAAATTCCGTTTGATAGTGACCGATTTTTATAATTAGAAGTGAGAGAAATTTCTTTCATGTGATTTCACTGATGAATAAATATATTGTTTTTATTTTTCAGCGAATGAAACTCTCTTGGCGAATTTCTCCGAACATCTTTCTCCTGTTGAAAAATCAATTCGATACCGGAGAGAGAATCGAAATAACTCTCAACTAGAACGTAGTTTGAGCACTGGCGCCATGCACTCGAGGTGCATTGCCCTCGTGCAGGGCCCTGGCGATGCGATCAAGCTTGTCATAAATTCATCTTTTTGCACGTCTTGAAATAGCAATTGATTTTATGATTTTTTTTCCCGACGTTTGTCAGCTCGGCATCATCTCGTGACCAACATTTGCGGCGCAGAAGATGTTGCATTGACGTACAGCAATAATATCTCGCGAAAGCCCGTAAGGGTTATTATTTCTGGTCGCGTCAAATAACTAGATAATGACAGACATGAGGATCTCATTAGATTCCACTGCACAATGTTTAAAAAACATTTAAAAATGAGATAAAACAACTCGTGATTTCCCCGTGTTTCTAATTTTACGTCGGTAAATCCAATATTTTCCAAGAAAATATTGAAATGTTTTTTATTTTCGAGACCAATGCGAGTTATAAAAGTTTCATTATTTTCTATGATTAATTTATTTGAATAGTTGCCAATCTAATACTTTTTAATGACTCCATTACCAAGTGAGCAATGTTCAAGTGTGAGAGGAAGCTCTTATCGAGTGCTAACGAACTTTATCTAAATAATCTCTCAGAGCGTCGCAGATGAGAGAAAAAATCTACGATTTATGGATAAAAATGACACGTTTTACAGATTGAAGGATAAAACAATAAACGATTTTGAAATGTGAATAAAATGTTCGCACGCTCACAGTATACGCATCTGAAAGCATAAAGTAGGGTCAAGTGAACCTGAACCGTCGGCAACGACACTCATGGTTCCAAACAGAGTGTTGAGCGGATTCTATATGAAAACAGTGGTGATTTTTTTTATTCCATTCCACGGGGGATTGAAATCGGTTTGAGGCAGTAGAGTCACGAGACGAAGATTGGGTTTGTCAGACGGTTCATTGACACGATTGTCAAAGACTTGAAGCCAAAAGTATCATCACAAGCCGTTGAAATACCTAAATCAATCAATCAACCGTGAAATTGATATCATCTGGGAGAAAATTAAACTCAATCTGGATATCGAAATAATGTTGAACTTCTGAAGTGCACATTGAGCTTGCAAATAAAATGGGGAAGTCGACAGATTTACTGGGGGACACTGAGTCCCGGACCTAGACGACGTAATCGATCCAACCAACCGCAGGAAACAGTGAACTCTCATTTTCGAAGAACCCTTCCATCACCCTGTCCTTCACATCCTCATCTCGCTCTCGCTCCTTTTGAAAGTAAACCCGGACCTAGGCAAAACGGAAAAGGGTGGCCCCGTGAAATTACACGTTGCACCCAACAGTAAATTCCCAAATGAAAGTTTCCCAAGACGCCTGAAAGGCAGCTGCAGTAAACTGGAAATTTCCCATCGATTCCTCTCCCGCCATCAAATGCACAACTGCAAGTACCATGATTTTCGTCTCGATGTAAAAACCGATCTTTCAGCGTAAAAACGACGAGTCAAAGTCTCAATTTGAAAACTTATACTTTCTACACGGATAGTACTGGTGTCTCGAGGCCGACCATTCAGGGTCGAAGCACCCGACAAAAGCCCCCGAGAATAATAAAAAGAAGAAAAAAAACCTCTCTAATTTTGACTCCTTTATTTTGGCTTTTTTCTCCTTCAGTCTGAGTTTTCGAGGAACGATGACGGTAACAAAAGAATAAAACACAGAATCAGATATTTTAAGGCTGGCTGAAGAAATAACCGATACTACGAGCGAGTTATAAACGTATAGATGTAGGAAAGAAAATGATGAAGCTCTAATCTATTTCCGTTTGCGAGCGCCTGTGGCTAGCACACACTGGACTTTTTCGTGACTCAAAACGATAACATTTTGGCCGCCAACGTGTATGTACAGCAAATATTATCCGTCAGATGAATATTGGTATAATTCTTTTTGTTATACTTCCTCGGCATTAAAATTAATCTTTCACGATTTGCGAGAAGCATTTGTTCGTGTAACACGAGGCTGCGTCATGGGAAACAGAGGGGAAAATATAAGCAGTTTCCGCTTCTGGAGGAAGGCTACCTGAGAACCTCACACATGTTAATTCAATATTGTGGCCCCGTTCTAGCCAGACGTCATGATAGACGGTTGAGCGATAAGGAAGTTCTGTGAACTAATTTTTTTACGGGTTTTATCGTCGAGTTTAGTTTCAAAATAATGAGAATCAAGTTGACATAAAGATGATAGAATTATTAGGTGTGTTAGGGTTTTTTGTTTTGGTTGACAGATGGACATATCTCATCGAAATCAAAATGCAATTGACTCATTTTATACCTATCACATGTCACAGATTGATTAATACCAAACACTCGTGGCCATAAATGTATAATCTATCATTAAAAATTGACAAACGACCATTACGATATTGAACCTCGAAACATTGACGGAAGTGGAACACATTTGCTCACACTGAATTAACCGCGCGATAACTCGAATGTACACACGTCAGGCAGCTCCATGAGTGAGTTACCAGTTTTGGAACATCGAGATAGTTGGGCAATAAAACTCGCACTCAGTGCAGGCCAAATTGCGGGGGTGGGCATATTCATCGAGGGCGAAAGTGAAAGTTCAACTTTAGTCTGTTGGATCACGAGGACGCGCCGATGCCAACAGATTTTCGGGGTGGATGCACGCGGAAATGTTATTTCCCGTTGCCAATGTTTATGTGTTCACCGATTTTCACGATATGTGGGGATTGAGATGGTAAATAAACCGGCAAAAAGCGCTTTGAGTGAGGGGAGAAAAAAGGGGACAAGTTGATATCTTGATGAGGACTTTTTTCATCTTTTTCGGTCTGGGGAACTGAGGAAGAGATTGT